GGGAGGCCCCGCCTCAACGGCCACTCAAGAACAAGTGCAGTCCTTAATGGTTTCCCAGGTTCTCCCCCTTCCCCACTCCCAGAGCAGCCTAGAGAGCAGCTGTCCTCAACCTGTGGGTTATAATCGGGGGTTGAGGGGGAGAGCATTTCTCAAATATCCTGCATATCAGATATTTACATTATAATTCATACAGCAGCAAAATTACAGTTATGGAATAGCAATGTTATAATTTTCTAGTTGGGGGTCAGCACAACATGTAGAACTGTATTGCAGGGTCACAGCATTAGGAAAGGTAGAAATGCATCAAAAGACAGGGAGACAAAGGCCAGTGCAGGGAAACTGACTTAGGAAGCGGATGCCAGGTCTACAGCCTACATAAGGTAGGCACTGGGCTCTAGGAAGGCTACAACAAGCACAGGGCAGGGCAGGGAACCAGAGCTTGGATAGAGGTTGTTCTGGTCACACCATCTGAGAGTAATACGTCCAGGTTCCCAGGTTTCAAGAGACACAGACCTGGCAGCACCCTACTTTCTCATGAGGCAAGGCTCTGAGGGGCAGGCTGCACTACTTTCATTAGGTTAGCGGGCTAAGCCCTTGGGCCCTGGCACCCTTTGGAAGTCCACTGCCTCTGGCAATGGGATGCCTCCCCTCCCACGCCCACACCATGCAGAACCTATGGCATCTCTCTAATGCATTTCCTGTCTACCCTCCTCTGAGCCACAACCCTGTGCACAGCAGTCAGACTCCTGTGCCTCCCAGGCCTACCAGCTGGCAACAGTACCTGTAGAACTTGCAGGGTGCTTCAGATCTGAAAGCACTGTTGAAGGATTCTGGGCTCACACACGCAACCCACAGCACCAGGGCATTACTTCCCGACACACTACACTGACCACAAAGAGAGGGCAGCATTTGAGAGACAGGATGAAACATCTCCATGCTAAGTGGTACCCGCAGCAACTGTGTTTAATAATAATTGAAAAATAAAAAAGAGGTCATGAGAAAGATCAGAGCGAAGATTCCTGGAACATAATTCCAGGGCATTAAAGAAAAGTAGCAATTGCATAATAACGGAATTACTATACTTGTGTGCATAAATATGATGCCTCAGTCTATTTAAAAAAAGAAAATACCACAGCCTGAGTAGCTGAGCTATGATAGCAAATCTATTTCTCATAGTTTGGGGCCTAGAACAAAGTGTGAGAAGGGCTCCTTCTAGTCTGCACAGTGCCTTGTGGTCTGTCATCTATAGTAGTTGGGTAAGGCACCCCTGAGGCAACGCAGCACAGGGTCCTGAGGGGTGGGGGCTTTGCTAGTGACCTCTCACAGCCTTACAGAAAAATCAGAACTTAAAAGAAAGCCAGATAAAGTTAGTGTCCTCTGGGCCACAAAGCCATCCTGCTGGCCTTCACTCTGCTGAATACCTCCTCCATACAAAGCACTACCCAGCCTCCTTTTTCTTTCAAGCACCTCCCAGACATGTTCTGCCTAAGATTACAGGCATGGTAGAGGAGAGAGGTGCGATTCTACCAGGAGCCCTGAGCCACAGTGACGTTCTCATGTGAAGCTGCTGTGTGTACAGACACATGCACACAGATAGGTGTACACGCAGTCAGAGGAATGGCACATTCCCAAACAATCATGTGCACTTGCATTTCAGATCTGCAGCCATTCACAAACACAGCTACGTAAGTAGGGCCCATTCACGTGTGAACACAGAAGCACATACCATTCTCACAGGCACACTGAGATCTCGCCGACATTTCACATACCACTTACTTCAAACATCACCAATAGAGATCAGAGAAAAATCCTCACTTTACAGAGGGAGATCCAGGCTCAGGCAATGACAGGGCAAGAAGGATGATGGCTTCCAGCCAACCGACATACACCGACTGCAAGTCAGAGCCTCAACACTGCTTTGGGCTCCTCCTTGCTGCTCTTGCCCACTGTTCTCTTTATGTAAAAGTAACCAAAAACTGCTTGAGGTGTTAAGGGCAGCATATTAAGGTAGAGAGAAGGCTGTGTGGGCTAGTTCCTCAATAAACCCAGCTCTCAATATATAAAGAGAAACGACTCTTCTCTGGGGGACACTGAGCATGGTACATGCCAGTCATGACTGTAGGTGTTGGCAAGCAAACCCCTTCATCCAGAGAGCCCTCCCACCCGATCCCTATGCATGGTCTGTACCTACACACAAGAACAAGCACGTGTGGGTTTTAGACATGTGGGACCACGGTAAGAGCACATCCCATATAGGACTTTTGGGAGCAATAACTCTGCGGCAGGTGTACTGCAAAGCTGACTGAAGGCTGTGCACCAACCTTGCCAGCCCTCTGGTATAGTCACTCTGTGGATCTAGCCCTAGGTGGGGAAGGAAACTTTGTTAAGGCTGCCACACAGAGGAAAACCCAGCTCGATGTGCACTTAGCTAATCCACTATTACGCTGTCCCTACATTGCACGTAACTAGCGAATGCTGATTCAGGGGGCCACACAGGTGGGAGCCTCATCCCCACTCCACCTCGATGCACCTTCTCCCCCTCCCCCCCCTTTTCTTTAGACTCGGGGGTCAAATTTAGAGATCCGGTCACTTTTTAGTTTGCTTTTATTTTTTAACATCATTGCGGGGGAGTTTGTGAAGGGGAGCCTGCAAACGCCATGGGACATGGGTAGAGGTCAGAGAACAACTTAGTGGAGTTGGGTCATTCTTTCAAACTTTACATAAGTTCCAGGAACCAAACTCAGATCCTCAGGCTTACACAGCAAGCATTTTACTCACTGAGTACTTCCATCAGCCACCAAGATCCAATTCTTAAAATAGAAGTGTTTCCATGAGAATGGGGTTCACAATACAAATAAACTAGATAGCTTTCCATACATGCTATGCTCCTGGGTGTATGGGGATCTACCAATCCCAGAGGACAGTCAGAGGGGCTGCTGTCTTCACTCAGACACTGTAGAGCAAGCTTGGTCAAGAAGACGACACACTGAAACACCACCTCTGGTCTGCACACGGAAAGTGCCACGATACCATGGCTGATCTGACCCTCCTGTGTGGACAAGACTTGGTCAGGAAAGGCCTGGTGCTCTGACACATGAGAACTGTATAGGACAGTACTGTTTGCAAACAGGCCAGACAGTCCAGAAGCACTCAGTGGTATATCCCTTGGCTAGAAAAATGTTCTAGAACCTGCTTTCTACCCAGAGGCAGTGTGGTCGGCTTCCGGTTGGACTCAGGCCACAAGTACAACCCCAGAGAGCTCACAAGCATAAAGGGTAGTACAGGTTCCCTCCCATCAAGGTCACCTCTGCCAGCCCACTAATGATCTCATGAGCACCAATGACCTGCTCTCGGCTCTTTTCTTTTTTCCTTTAGGCCTACAGTAAGGGGATGGGGAGACCCTGTTCCTGTGGCTGTACCACTCCTACTTGCCTACACGTCAGTCTGACACAAGGAGTCCCCTACTCAATCAACCAGGGCCTGCCTACCACTGCCTGGCTGCCCTCAGCAGCAATGACATCTTCCCAGACCCTGTACTCTAGGGCATGCCATGGCTTAGAGCCACGCTGGCCTGTAGGAGATGACCTCAGAACAGAAGGCAGCTGAGGCCCTCGCATTCTACACCTACGGGTGAAAGGAGTGGAACTGGATTGAGAAGTTCAGCAAGACTTCAGTGGGAGGAGACCCCTGGGCTCAGGCAGAGAGAAGGACCCCCAGCAGGTCTAGGGTCTCAGGTAGACAAGATGAACCCCAGCAACCTCAGGAGACAACTGAGGCTCAGGCAGAAAAGGGGATAGCCAGCAAACCTGAGATGGAAGCCACAAGAGAACAGTCACCATACTGTTTGGTACTTGTGTGGGAGAGGACATCAAACTGGAATACTACAGCCCAGAGAGATGCTCTTTAACTCTAAATAGACCTCTACACAGGCCACACTCTTGGCCCACTCCTGACTCAATATGGGCCAACTTCTCTCTATTCCAAAATTTCAAGAGGTCAGAGAGCCAAAAGAGCCAAGGAGGTCCCAGCACTACAGAGGCCCACCAGGGAAGACCCTGGAAATCTTCCACAAAGGTACTACTGGGTATGGAAGTAAACACTACAGTCCCAGCACTCAGGAGCCAACCAAGGCCCACGAGTGTTCAAAGCCAGCTAGCTGAAAGGAAAAGAAAGGAAAGCGAGGCAAAACTAATATTAACTCTATGGAGGAAACTCTAAACCCCCATAATTGACTGGACAACAAATAATGGTCCCCCAATTCTTAAGGGCTTCCCAGGTTGTGTGATAGACATACAGCCTCACCCAGCCACACAGCCATTATGGAGATGCCATCAATGTGGAGTCACAAAAGAATTCAAGTTGTAAGGTTTAAGCATCAAGAAAGAAGCCAAGCTGGCAGCTTGGTTTAGAGAGAAGATCAATGTTTTCCGAAAACAGGCTGAGAGATGCCAGTGTACAATGGGCCCTATCCTGAGGACTGGAGAGATGGCTCTGCTCTTGCAGAGGACCTGGTTCAATCCCCAGCATCCATATGGTAGCTCACATTAACCTGGAACTCGTAGAGGATCTGACACCCTCACACAGACATACATGTAGGCAGAACACCAAAGCTGATAAAATAAATAGATCATTAAAAACAAAACAAAATGGACCCTAACTCAAGAACAGACACTTCTTTTGCAGACTGTGGGAGATTTGAAAATGAAACCCTGAAAAGTGAAGTGTAGGCTGTAAATGGCCTGACATGAAGCACAAATTGCCCATGGCAACCTACTCTGCAGTGTTAATAGCACTGCTCTTTCTAGAAATCTTCCTTAGGAGCCTTTATCTGTGTAAACATGGGAGGCCCTGCCAGATTTGGGGGAGGAGGGGTGAAGAGAGGGGAAACAGGGAAATTCCATGACTTAACATTTGGAAACTCCCAGATAAATGACCGTCTTCATTTTACTGTCTGCTCTGCTTGGGCCTAATGAGTGAGAGGTTCAAGGGCATGGACTTACCTCGGCAAGCAATCCCTTGACGGTCAATGGACTGTTTGCACACTTCACAAACTCTGGGCTTTTTAAAGTCCTTTTTCTTAAAACTGTGCGGACATGTGGCAAACTCCTCCGGCTAAAAGAGTAAAGGAAGAAACTGTCAGTGCTTTAGCTCCTCATATCTTCTTCTTTCTTTCTTTCTTTTTCAGGAGATAATAAATCTAGTGAGCCTTGAAAAGAGCTCAGAGAGGAGCTTTACCAAGCAAGCTCATGCTCCGGAGAGGCAGTGGATGGCATTCTGGAACCCAGAGGGCATCTCCCCCTCCCCCACCACCACCACTGAGGCATTAGGCAGCTACCCAGGTGACAATACGCTTCTTCCAGCCTTCGGGCTTACATCATCCTCTGAAACAGCAAAGTAACCACGCATGCTACTAGGCTCTCAAGGCCTTTTCTTCTAGGATAAATAATTAGCAAAGAGCAATCTGAAGAAATCGAAGAGGCACGGAATAGTAGTTCTCCCCTCAAAGAGGTCCCAAAATAACCACTATGGTTTCCAGCTTCTCGGGCCAGTGTGCTAGGGGGTCCTAGAGTGAGCCTGGAAGACACACAGGCTTTTTCCTTAACCATGATGACAAGCATTGGTACGAGGAGATTAACTCTCATCCCCCAAGTTCGGGTACACAAGGTGAGTGCTCACCGCCTCTATGTGAGGACCTTGGAAGAGTTCACTTTGTTTTAGAAACATCCTTAACATGCCTGTTTGGTGATGACAGCGTATGATCAGTAACTAATATGATGAGTTAACACACACACACACACACACACACACACACACGGAGGCCACCGCACACCCACCACGGTAATTTAAATTTACTGATGAAATGTATCATTTGTCTCATGTTCTCAATAACAACTACTTTGGGGAAAACAAAGTTTAATAATTTTTTACACACTTGAAAGAATGTGAGAACATAATTTAAAAGGTGGCTGCCATACAGTGTAGTCAATACACGATTTTTTCTAACAATTAAAAAACTGTTGGAAAGCCAGGCAGTGGTGGTACACCCCTATAATCCAGCACTTGGGAGGCAGAGGCCAGCAGATCTCTCTGAATTCCGGGCCAGCCTGGGCTACAGAGAGTTCCAGGACAGCCAAGGCTACACAGAGAACCCTTGGGGACGGGCATGCATAGAGAAGGGGAAGGCAAGGAGGGATTGGGAGGGGAGGAGGGAGGGAACTACAGGGGGGATATAAAGTAAATAAAGTGTAATTAATAAAAAAAAAAAATTTTAATTCCAGTCCCAAACAAGAAATACCCTAACTATATACCGTAAGAAGAATGAACTTTTCTGAATGTTGGTAGTACAGCAGAGTAATGTTTAGAAACACACAGTTTAGAAACTGCATACTCTCTGTGGCAGTACCGGATTAAAAGCACTATGACATCTAAAAGTGCAAGGAAATCAAGAGCTCTGCGATGCCCACCACCATGCAAGCAATTCTGAGTCAACAGAAGTAATGAGAGCCGTAGAACTCATCGCAAGGGAGTGCGTGGGGACCCTGAAGGAACACGGACAAGGGGAGCTCGCTTCCTGCTCTGGATGGCAGCTACAGAGGGCCCAAAACTCAAGTCACAAAGCTTCAGAATTGTGCATTGTACTGGCTAAAGATCTACGATAGAGATCTACATAAAATGACACTCCTGAGAAGATGGGCTAACCTGCTTTTTAAAACCTCAGGGAATGGGAAACATAATGATGTCATTTTTTTTTTTAACTTAGTTCTGAATCCCCAGGGTCTTCTCCTGCAAGCACAAAGGTAGTAATAACAAAGACTAAATGTATCCTGACACCCAAAATCATGCACAAAACACACAAAACCACTGTTTGGAAAACAGCGCAAGAGCAAAAGAAGGACAGCAATGAGGATGCTTTGGTCAGCAAGGTCCCTGTGCACCAAGGTGCTCTGTGACCCAATGAGGTTAACTAAGGTCCTTCTACCTGGGGAGGTTCTGGCAATCTCAGTTCACGAAGGCACCTGAGTGACAGCAACACAACGCTAACAGCACCTGATGATGAACATCCTAACTGCATCTTTGTTCAGAAACCCGTGAGCCACCCCTGTTGAGGGGCAAGAAGTTTCCTAGACCGGGCATCACAAAACAAAGAACTTGCACAACTCTTAAGGGCTGCAGAAAACCCCTTAAAAAAAAGAAGAATATAGAAAAGAAACCCATACACACACCCTTCCAACACACACCCTGTGCCTCTCCAGTAGGATTAGAGGAGCAGGGCCCTCTGCTCACTCAAAACTGAGCATGGTGCTTGCTCCCTAGAGATCAGGAACCCCAACTTTGCCCTATTCTACAGGAACTGCAGAAGGACACTGCCTCGCAGAGGTTAGCTCTTCAACAACGGTTCTCGACCTCCCTAAGGTTGCAACCCTTGAATACAGTTCCTCATGCCGTGGTGACCCCCAACCCTAAAGTTATTTTCATTGCTACTTCCTAACTGTAATGTTGCTACTGTTACGAATCATAAAGTAAATCTCTGACACACACTATATCTGGTGCTCAACTCCTGGGGAATGATCCGGTTGCGACCCACGGGTTGAGAGCTGCTGCTCTGCACTGACCGCCCTTCTTGGCTTATGTGAGCTATTTAAAAAACACTGCCCTGAGGCTGTTACTGCTGTCCAGAAACATGACTGCATTTCAGAGAAAAAGCACACCAGAATACCAAAAAGACCATAAAATTTCCCAGAATCCAAACAAGGTAAAATTTACATAGGCTGGGAGCCCAGTCAAAAACTATCAGGCACTAGAAGAGAAAAGAAAGAAATAGAATTCATAAACAGAATAATAATAATAATAAAAAACCTGGCCAAGAAGTTAGAATTAGCAGACATGGATATTAGTGGCATTATTACAATCGTATTAAATTTACTCAAAATGTAGAGACCTCAAAAACACATAAAGATTAAAAAAAAAAAAAAACCCACAAAAAATTGCAAACTTCTGAGGTAAAAAATATATAGGACGTGATTATTGGTGAATTACTGAGAAGACAGATCAGTACACTTAAAACACACAATTAAAACCTCTCAAAATAAAGCAAATAAATGAGACAATGTATATAAACAAACAAATGAGTGTCAGGAGCAGTATGAGAATGTTTACCACAAAGATACATTTACTTGGCACCCCTAATGGAAAGAAGCACAGAGGGACAATGGAAGCAATAATGGCTAAAACTGCAGGAAAATGCAGGGAAAACCTTGAAGACATAGAGTCTAGAAATGAGAGCTAACTGTAATTACACCCAGGCACATGAAAATAAATTACTCAAAACCAGTAACAAAGAAAAATCTTTAAAACACTCAGAGCAAAGAAAGAGATGTCACATATAGAGGCAGAAAGATTTCTCACTTCACGGAGAGATGGCTCAGTGGTTAGGAGCATGCGCTCACAGGACCTACAGAGGACCTGAGTTCAGTTCTCAGCATACACTCAACCAGTATCTCTAGTTCAAGATTACTAGATGCCTCTGGCCTCCACAGCTATCTGGGCTCATGACACAGAGACACACTCACATGCACATAATTTTAAGAAAGAAACAGAAAATATATGTGAATAGTGGGACACACAGTACTGAAGGAGGCATAGGTAATTTAACGAAAACCTCAGTGCCAGGCATAGGACAGCTCCCTACGAAGCGTTGGTCAGGGATGCCCCAGAGGTACCCAAAATAACACAAGCTATTGCCACAGTTTATGAGAAGACCTATCAAAGAATCCATATTCACAAAGGGATTAACCATGTAAGAGAAGACCTGGGAGAAGATGGCTGTCTCCAAGTGAAGGAAAGAGGCCTCAAACCAACCACCCATGCCCGCACCTCAATGTGTAGGTCCCTTCCTCAGCACTGTTAGAGAAGTCATTGCTGTTAAGCCGCCATGTCTGTGGTAGTTTCTTATTCAACCCTCTCTTGGCGGTCAACAGAAAATAAACACGATACCAATGATTTGGATGATATTATCAAACAATCTGACCTAGCCAAGGCAGAATAGCTCAACAGCAAGCAACAGAGCACACATTCGTTCAGGCGTATTGGTGTAGCCATATTATGGACACAGAAAAAGTCTGAACAAATCAAAAAGAGAACTGAGGAAAAGAAAACTTCTTTGACCACAATCCAATCAAATTCAGGAACACAAACAGCAACCTCTGGAAAATGCCCAAATAGTTCCAAACAGAATACTACACTTCTAAATAACCCCTGGGTTAGCCTACATAATCCACAACATACTACATCATAAAAAGTTGGCTTACCCCAGAAATGCAAGATTTCAGAGCACTCAGATATCAATCAATAAAGTTAAATAGCAGAACTCTGGAAGCTGAGGCAGGGAACCAGCAGAGGCCAGACCTCGCCTGGAAATGCAAAACAAACCATCAAAAAGGCAACTAATAAGCTAAGAAGGGAACCAGCTGGTCTCCTAAATGAATGCAGAAAATCCACTGACAAAACCCAACATCCCTTTGCTGATTCAAGCAGGGAGAGAAAAGGGGCTTCCTCACTATCACATGTGGCTATGTAAATCCTACAGCAAACATCCTTAATCATAAGGAGCTAATGCTTCCTTTTAAGATACACAACAGGGGCAGAGATGGTGCTAATCAAGATTTAGCATCGAGATTCTAAACGGTACAATGAGGTGAGAAAAGGAAATAAAAGGCTTTGTGAAGCCTCAAAATAGTCCTGTTCCTGATAACTTGACAGCCTGTGTAGAAAAGTCTGATAAAATCTACAAAAAAAAAAAAGAAAGAAAAGTTTTGAGAAGTAACAAGAATCTTTACTAGCAAAGCTGGAGGATACAAAATCAGCATAATCAACATGTTGTTCTAGCTACATGTCACCAATGAACCTCTGTGACTGAAATTCAAAAACCCTTACCACTGTCGATAGCATAAGCAGCCATTTCTAGACCTAGAATCTTCCAAACACTTCAGGTTCCTCAGCTGTGTTGGCACTTCACTGCATATCTCCTTGTATTTGCTATGATGTAGACCGCACTGTCCAGAGAACAAGCAAGTGCCCTGAACCCTGCAGAAACCTCTGCTTTGGCTCTGCAACCTACAGTTATACTGTTGCTCAGCCCTGAGCCACAACAACTCTTAAATGGCAGTGACACCCTCCCTCTCCTACTACTTAATGGAACTACTGGAAATTAAACAAAATGGTACATATCCACAGGCAAAACTTGGACAGTTTTAAAGACAACTTGGGTTAGGGTCCATCCCAGACCAGTTCAATCTGATTACTCTAAAGATGAGACCAGAACACTGGCAAGTTTTTGGACCTCGCAGAAGATTCTCATCTGCAACCATAACAGACTGTATCACTTGGACCTGTTCTATTAAGGCAACTTTTATTAAATACCCCTTTCTATTTCTGTGTCTGATTGTTTTAAAATAGATGCTACCTACCTGAGAGCAGAAGCCCTGTATCCCAAAGCCCTACAGGATTCTAGCAGTGCTCAATACTCACACTAGGAAGCCACATAGTTACGGTTGTAACCCTCACTTTTTTACAGATAGGACTGTGATACAAAAGACCTAGACCCCATAAGCAACCAATGAGGGATGAGACTCACCCTAATGCCATGCTCAAACTGGCACAGGAAATGCACCCTTAGTAATACCCAGGCTGATACATACCTTTTCCGCCTAACTTGCAGCTCTTTTGCTATAAGCTCTCGTGCTAGACACAGTATCTCAGGTCTGGGATACCAAGCTCTTTCTCCTTTGTGCTCTGTGAGCCCTACCCAGCTGGCAGACGGCAAACCACAGTCCCTCAATTAAGACTTGTGCACTAAATGAACTGGCCACAGTCTGCAGGCCAAGGAGAGATACTGAAAAGGTTCTTTGGTCACAGACACCTTTATTCCAAGCAAGGAGAAAGAGGTACTGTTTCCCTGCAGCTTCTTGCTCACTGGTCCACAGTTTGGAAGCTGCAGAGTGGAAACAGCGGAGGCACTATGGTGCCTGCTCAGCCATTTCAATGGCTGGGTCCCAGGGGAGTTTAAGATAGTGCCATAACATCTGCTCACGTGCAAGCTGCATAACAACTCTCTTGTGAAAGGAGACTCGCCGAAGTTAGGCCGGCCTTGTCTCCACCTGAACCCTTGCTTTCAGTTCTTCCTGAAAGGGGGGTCGGGGGTTTGGGGGAGGAACAGCGAGGCTGACGCAGTTACCATAGCCAGTTCAGGAACCTAAATTGCATCTAATTGTTCGGAGCCAAACTTTGGAAGAGTAACCAGTAAGGCTCCTGGTTCCACGAGGACGCCCACCCGGAGAGGGCCGGGGCAATTAGCCTTGATAGTGAGGTCTCTGCAGGGCAGGGAGAGTCTCCACTCAGCGGAAAGGCAAAACCACACAGGGAACCCGCAGCCAGCGTTGCTCGGCTTAAAGGTCGCAGTGGCAAACCAGCTTCATAGTGCAAGGATATGTCTGGACTATCCCAGCTAACATTCTCCCTTCTGGAAACAGTCAGCCCACCGCAGGAAGCGAATGTAGGTGCCCTGGGGTAGCTAGGTAGCATTCTAGGGAAACAGCATTGATCAAAAACACATTCCCTGCTTAACTTCACTTCTCTGAAAGTTACCAATCCTGAACCCTTCCCACATCCGCAGACCTGACCCCAGACCTCCCCCACACAAGGCGGGCACCTAGGGCATGAGGGACTCCCCGCTCAACAGTGTCTCCACACTTTAGAGCAGAGAGAGGTTCTCCATGTGTGGGTTACAACCCCTTTAGGGGTCTAAAGATTTTTGGACGGGGTCCCATATCAGATATCCTGCATATCAAACATTGACATTACGGTTCACATCACTAGCAAACTTACAGTTACGAAGTAGCAACGAAAATAATTTTATGGTTGCTGCTGGTCTCAACAAGAGGAAGTGCAGCAAAAGAAGGTTGAGAACCCCTGCTTTACAGCAACTGGCTGCTGAGGCAAAACTGCCATGCAGACCTTTAGCGCCAAAGAACCTTCCGAAAGTTTTCCTGGGAAAACAATCGCAGTCGATGCTGGATTTATAAAACGTAAAAGAAGGGAGTGGGGCCGCTCCTGCGAGCCTCTCTAATTCGAGCTCCACAGAGAACCACAGGACGCCACGGGGCCCTCGGAGACGCTCGAACTTACACTAGACCTCTTCCAAGCACGACCCGGGCATCCGCAAGAAACACGCACAGAACAGCGAGTCTGCGCAATGGCCAGTGTACCGCCTCCACCCTTTCCCGCAGAGAAAGGGGTGCAAAGAAAAGTTTTCCAGCCGCTGTTGGACTTCAAGGGGCTTAGGGCCGTGCGCTCACCGGGCTCTGCATCCCTGGACACTGACGCGCGCGCGCGTACACACACACACACACACACACACACACACACACACACACACACACA